CTGATGCTCTCACAGGGTTACAGAGGTGCTCTCAGGATCACAAAAGTTGATCCTAGTTGCACTCACTGCAGGTGTGATGTGGGATGGTTTAGCATGTCTGCCTTGCACCGTGGCACAGGAGCCCCATATGGGAAGCAGGTGACATCCAGATGGATATTTATGCTCTCATCCCATAGCTGGGGTTGTATGGGGAATGTGCTGTGAGGTGCCCCATGTTTTGGGATTTATTTTGTATTTGGGAGTGACGACATTGCAAAAGGGTTGTTGTCAATTATATCCTTGTGGGCAGCATCGCTTGTCAAATTATTGTGGGCAGCAATCAGAGAAGGGCCTGTGTCACTTAATCTGTGCAGCAGCTTTAAGCATTAAAACATTTCCTACATTGCCAGCTCTTCTTTCCACTGGCTGTTTAGTGGAGCACACCTCAAAATGCCTTCAGGAAAACTCTGAACTGTGGAATACTGGCCAAAATATGTCAGACCTCATGGGAGCTGAACAAGCAGCTTTTATGTGAAGCTAAACTTGAACAGTCTGCTCTGCAGTTAGTCCAGTGGAGAGTCATCTGCCTTTAGAAACAGACAGATGTGTTTAAATAGGTAAATGTGAGCATCCAGAGAAATACTTCAGGCTAAATGCTCCTGTGGTCCCACTCATGAAAGCCACTGTATGGACTGGGGTAGGGATATGATACATGTATTTCCAGAAGCCAGGTAATGCTGAGCTCCACTTTCTGCACTGGTAGTAACTCAATTACATACTTACGAATAGCAGCTGAATATGCACTTAAAATATAATAATGTCACCTCCAGAGGCAGACACTCCTAGGAGAGCACTCAGGTGCCTAACACTCATTTGCTTTGGATGTCTCCACTGTCAGCATGCAGCAGAGCTGGTTCCCAGCTTTGACATCCAGGCCACCCTTTCTGCCTGGTTTTTCTATCAGCTGCCAGACTTTTGTGTTTTGTGGAGGGTTTTTTTGCAGCTGCAGAGAGAAAACTCATGGCTGGTAATTACAAAGTTCAGAACTGGTAGCAGAGGTGGTCTGTGCCAGATGAGCGCATTTTTCAGCTTGTGCTTCTAAGGGAAGGCAGAGCCTTTAATAAATACAAGTGTCACCTAGATGCATCTGAGAATTAATGAGATTTTCCTGACCACAGAAGCAGGGTAGCTCAGGAGTTCTGCAGTGCAGGAAAGTCTTCCTGAGGGGATGGACCAGTAGAGCTGCTCCTTTGCTGTCCCCACCACTCTGGCATAGCTCACACAAGCTGCTGTGCTGACAGAGCGGCCCACAGGAGCAGGGCAGAGCAAACCCCACAGCTAATGAACTTGTCGTCTTTTGCTTCTTGTTTGGCTCTCCAGCCTGACTCACCTTGGCCCCAGAGATAAGCCTGGTATTTGGATGGGAGCCTAAGAAGCAACCATGTCAGGGATGTCAGCTGGAGTTAAATTTGCCACTGCTCTATCCAGTAACTTTGTTCAGCTCCAGGACTGGTTTCCTAGCATGTCCATAACAAAAAGGCAGTGTGACACTGCAGCCTGCTTACTGATTCCTTGGACATTTTGTGGTTGCTCAGCTTGTGCCTGTCACCTCTCCTGATTCTGTTTTCAGTTTTTCCTGTCTTCATTCTTGCTGCTTGGGGCACTGCCTTGCCCAAAGCAGGTAAATAAGTCTCTGCTGACAGTGTGCTTTCTCTCTGAGAAGTGTGACCGTGAGGGCCAGTGCCAGTTTAAAGGCAAGCAGTGTCTCTTGTCACCTGCATTAAATTAACAGTTGTGCTACTGATCTAATGATGTCTTTTGTGATTATGCTTTCACTGTTTGACTGGGGACCTTTTCCTTGTTCTTCTCTTTCTTTCCAGACTCAAGTTCCTCTTTTATTTCCAGAGGAATCCTTCATATTAGGAAACTGTGCACCATGTCTCTGCCACAATATGAAAGCTGTGTAATTGCAGAGGTTAAGACCATCACTTTTGAGCAAGATTTTGGTATTTTCAATTCCTTTGGGTGATGTAATAGAAAACAAAGAAATAATGTGCTGAAACCAAATTTGCTACAAATATCCGTGGGGACAAAATGTATTTGCGGGTTGGTGGAGGTGTGTCTGAGTATGGAAAACTGCGGCTTTGGATTTCTTGATTTGAGGAATTTAATCTTGTCTATCAATAACTTCTGACATGTACGTTAATGCTTAGCATGTTCTTATGGGAACTGGAACAAACCAGGTAAGCAGAGTCCTTCAGCATCTCACGACTGTCATTAATTCCTTGAAAGAATTTCTTCTGGAAATTATTTTCTCCCGCTGTTTTCTCTTGCCGGGGAGAGTTTGGGGTTGTGCTCCCGTGTCCCGGCTCATCCCCTCATCCAGCTGTTGCCATCTGGTGGCCATTCGGGCTTCCAGCGGGGAACGTGCGCCGTGACTGTAACCAGGGCAATCTGGGAACACACACATGGCAAACTCACAAATACTTGTCTAGCCATCTGCCTTATTCAGTGCTGCCATAATCTACTGTCGCCAGCAATGCCATTTTCCTGATACAAAAAATGCATTTAAAAAGGTGTATGCTGCATTTGAAAACTAAAGCTGAAACTGCAGGACGGTGCTATTATTTTTAACCTTTCGTTCCTTTAATTTCCCTGATGTACTACCTAACCTTTCTCGATTCTTTTTATTTGCTTTCCTTCTGCTTCTCACCACCTCCACCCTCCCACAGGCCGTGTTGTCTGTGTGTGTGTCGGAGCCTCTGGCACCTGCGCTCTTCCATCGGGCATCGCCTCTCTGCACGCAATTCTGTGACCAAAATTTCAGTTAAAATCTTGTATTTCTCACTCTGTCAAAAGCATTAGGTATTCTGCTCACCTTCACCGTGTCTGTACAGTATCACCCTGCCAAAGAGACTTACCTGCAGGAGTGTTCGTTCACGGCCGACTTCCTCCGGGCAGGAGCCCTTGCAGCGCTTGTTCCTCGTACATGGATGGAAGGAGCAGTGTCCTAAATTCAGCAAGCAGTGAGTGTGCTGCTTTCCAATCGATCTGAATGAGGCTGTTCTGCCATTAGCATAGAGGGTAGTGGGTTTCTCTGAGACATGGGCAGGGGGCTCATAAAAACAAGCCAAAAAGGTTGGAGTCAAGATAGATGTAAAAAGGGGTTTTTGTGTGGGAATGAAACATTTGTCAAAAAATTCTCTGCATACTCTGAAGGAAAAAAGAAAAACACCTATCCTAGCAATGGATCAAATTCAGGCATTCAGCTCAGCCCCTTCCCTTGCTTTTTCACCTCGGTCATGATGGGTCACGTTCCCCAGTTTAACAACAAGCAGCATTCACTTCTCTGTCCATATTTAACTGCAGTAGCTCAGGTTGCCTTGGGTTTTTTGGGAGGTAAAAGGCTTTGTGCCTCTGCCAGGGAACATTTCTCACAGCCAGGCTGCTGGTCCCCAAAGGCCTTCTCCAAATACCTGCTCCTTCCTATTCCAACACGAGTGCTGACTTGCAGCCAGTGAGGGGAGGCTGGCTCCCAGGCTGGGGGCTTGGCTGCAAGAGAAATAACCCCTTGCTGGGGCTGCAAGAGAAATAACCCCTTGCTGGGGCTGCAAGAGAAATAACCCCTTGCTGGGGCTGCAAACTTCCAGGGGCCCCCACACTGGTGAGATCCGAGAGCCAGACCTTGTCAGGAGGGACAGACGCTTTGGCTACCCAAGAGCTGTCATCTGCTGGAGTGTGGTAACACGAACCTGGCAGCCCTGCCTGGGGTGGGCAGGAATGCTCTGAGACCCTGAGAGGATCCGGAGGGCCGTGGTCAGCATTCCCACAAGGCCTCCATGCAATTGTATCTCCACAGCAGCTGCCTGGCCTGGGATAAAGGCTGGGAGAAGTCAGACGCGGGTTTGAAATAAGATCGCCGCAACAATGGGAGCTGCCGGCCACGAATGGGCCAGGAACAAGGCCAGAGTTATGTAGACAGAGAGTTTTTATTGGAGGATAAATGTAAATGCAGAGTCTGAATGCTTAGTGGAGGGGGTGGGTGAGGGAGAGTGATTAAAAAAATAATTAAAATAATAATAAAGGCATCCAGTGTGAAATACCAAGCCAGCTGGCAGACAGCACAAAGGCTATCCAGCAGAAATAGAAAATACATCTGGTGTCACCCAGAGGCAAAGCTAAGAATGGTTTTTGTGGGGAGTGTTTTCTGGAAAAGGGAATTTGGAACACTGTGTATGCATGGTTGTGGCAGGTCCCCCAGTGCCATGTCCTATCTCCATGTGGCAGTTGCCTGAGAAAAATGCAAGAACACCATTAGCATTAGGCAATATATCCCCAGGACACCACCCCAGAATCCTGAGACTTGTGACCCTGGGATTTCAGTGACAGACTTCTTAGGGGGAGAGAATGTGTGTGTGTACAATCAATAGCGTGAAATTATTTAGCAGACTAGCTTTTCTGAATACAAAGAAAACTCTGCAAACAGACACTCCTGTGACACTCAACTCCACTGCAGACACACTCTGCAAAGAAATGTCTTGGTTAAGCCTGACAACTCTATGTTTATTTCAATGCCCTCTACCTTTTTGCATGGGGACAGCAAGTGAATCCAAATCTGCCTTCTCCAGATCAGATTTGGGATTTTACACACCCTACCAAAGCTCTCTCTTTAACTTTTCTTTCAGACTGACAGTTCATACTCTCTATTTGTTCCAGGTACAGAAGCCAATTTGCACTGTGGATGTTGTTGTCACTTTCTCCTGGGCCTCTTCCAAGTCTTTTGAAACCAGATGACCTGAACTGCGAAGAACATTCAGAGATTTATAGTGACATCTTTCCTGTTTGCTTCATCTCCTGTCCCAGAAACTGATGGACTTGCTTTTCTTATGCTGCTGAACACTTCACAGGACTATCTCTCTCAAGGTTTTGTTCCTGAGTGATATTGTTGAGCTCAGAGTAGATAATCATGTATATATGAGGTAGAGAGGTGTGTGTATATATGTGTGTATATATATATAAATTTCTCCACTGTTTCTTATTTTCTTTGCTAGCCTGAATGACTGAGTATTATTACCAAACACATCACTTTTCACACCTTTCCAGGTGATTTATGGCAATAAAGAGCAAGCTCTTGCACACCCTACAGAAATCCACTGGATCTGCCTTGCTGTAGAGACAAACCAGTCACGTTTGTATCACTTGAGCCTCTCAGCTCAGTAAGGATAGAGGTGGCTGCAGCCAAGAGGGTGGGGTGTCTTCTCTTAGTTAATAGCTTTCAAGGTGGGGACTCTACCAGGAAGTCCTGGTAGACTAAAGGAGATGGATCTGTCTTGAGAATGTTTGTTTGCTTCTTCAAAGATTTCCCATCCCTCTATGAAGCCAAGAGAGTGGCCTTGTCCCAGCATGCTGTCTGTATGCTGGTGGGGACATATCAGAAATAAGTGACTGCGCCTGTTTTGTCTCTGAGAAACAAAACCTTCAACCTGGCTAGTTGCTCTGTTCACAAAAATGTTTCTGAGATCTCACCAAGACGTTAAATTACTTACAGATAATCCTTTCTTAGTTTATTTGTGTGTGTATTCATTTAGTTAGTCAGAGATCACATTGATAATTAGGAAGAAAAATGACCTTCTGTAAACAGCAGGAGATATTTGACGGGTGAAACACACTGTGCTCCCATTTCCAGCCCGGTGGTGCAGTGGCCCTCAGCTGTCATTCCCAGAACAGGTGCTGTAAATCAATACCCTGATGGGGATATTTCAGCAGCACAGCCCCCTCTGAAGAGACCTCAGAGGTGCTTTGAGCGTGCCTCCATCTGTATGACTGCGGCAAGAGGATGATGAAGGTCCATTGCGTACTCCTCCTGCTCATCTCCACAGGTAAAGGTGTTCCAGCCATTGCCTTGAAGGGGGGTTGTCTCCTTCCAGAGCGCGTGGGACCAGGGCTTTGCACATACCTCAGCATGAGCGAGCGTGTGTTCCAAGAGCAGCCTGTCCTACCGGTAAGGTTTTATGAACACACCAAGTCGTTTAAATGAAAGCTTTGGAGTGCAGTATTATCTGCTCAGATATTTGTAATTTCAAGCAACAGATATTTTGAGTGGAAAAGTTTCTCTCTGCAATCGTTTTTTCATGCTCCCATTTGCCCTGGTGCTACATGTATTTCAAAATATGTGAAAGGATCTAGTAAGCATGGCTCGGAATGTGAAAAATCATTACAAGAAATTTCATTAAGTTGTGGGGTATCTGACAAGGAGGTAAAATTGATTTGCAGCTGCATGTATTGTACTGAGATAATTCTTTTTAAAATGTCCCTTAAAAGAATAAGTGTTTTGTGATCCTAAAAGCTTTTCAAAAATTTCAAGCAGTATATTAAATTCCTATCAAGCCAGCCTACCAGAAGGGAGAAATGAGAGAGGATTTTAATTGTATTAATAAACTATAGAGCTTCAATTAGATGTGATGCTGTGATCATAACTTAAAAATTGAAAGATGTCTCCTGGGCACCCTCGCTCAGCCTCCTAGCAGGGGAAGTAAATGGTGCCTGTCTGCAACAGACAGCCTTTCTCATTAGTATCCAAGTATTTTAACATAATCTCATGGCATAACAAGGCCAAGGCAGAATCCTTGGCAATCTCAGCTCAGCTACATAAAAGGAGTTGGTGAAAAGTCAGTTAGGAAACCAGGGGAAATCCTAGCTTAGGTTGGAGTCAGCAGCAAAATTCTTGTTGACTTCTGTGGCCCAGGATTCAGCAGAAAGGGGGAGACAAGGGTGCAATCTGCCAAAAATGCTTGCAGTGAGGCTCAACTGTTCTGCTCCCTCTCACTGCCTTTAAGGGCAGAGGCATACAAAAACATCCCCAAATACCTCTTCCATTTGCTTTCCTCCTCTGTGAAGAAGCTACAGTCTGAGGACACCGTGTGCCTGCTTCTTCTGCCACAGGCTCTCTGGAAACAGGGCCCATCTGCTTTCCAGTGCCTGTGCTTCTCAGCAGCGCAGAGCCATGCACAGGCACTGAGAAGGCTCCACTGGAACAGGGTTGCACCCTGCCATTTCCACTTGTGAAATTTTTCTTTCAAGGCTCTTTGGCACAGCATGGCCAGGTCACGCTGGGCAGCCTGTGGGCAGAGCTGTCCATGGACCTACACCACACAGGGAGGGGTTTCCTTCTCTCACCCACCTGCACAACCTGAGCAAATCCCATGGTAGAGAGGAGCTACTATTCCACTTAGATTGAGGATACAAGGAGTCTGGGTGGTGATGCCTTCTCAATGACTGGTGTGCTTCGCCTTCTTTAATGTTACTGTCACAGGAAGGTCTGTGGAACTGAAGGTGGAAAAGGCAACATCAGAAATCCCTGAGAATGGATATTTCCTGTGTTTAACTGCCCATAAGTACTGCATGTTAGCAGTTTCAGGCTGGAAGACTCCTAATGTTCAGTCTGATGTTCATGATCCTGGGTGGAGGCCACTGTCACAGGGAGGCCTTGGTGTTGTCCCCACACCAGCGTTTCCTCCATGCCAGCCTCAGACTGGCGGTGCTGTCGCCTGTTCCCTGCCCCTTCTGACTGGTGCCACCCCTGGTGCTCTGCAGCTGGGCTGGCCCTGTGCTATGAGGATGAGACTCGCCTGGTGGAGGACTTGTTCAGTAACTACAACAAGGTGGTGCGGCCCGTGGAGGACCATCAGGACGCCGTGGTTGTCACCGTGGGGCTGCAGCTCATCCAGCTCATTAGCGTGGTACGGTATGAACGCGTGTAATGTTGAGCCACTGGCTCGTGTGGTGGTGCCAAATGGTGTCCTTTTCCTAAGGAAACAATTTTTATCCTTTAATCCTGATGCTTGCTGATACTCCTCTTTTTTTTACCTTTCCTTTTTTTTAAGGATGAAGTTAATCAGATTGTGACAACCAATGTTCGCCTGAAACAGGTAACTAAATATCCTTAACCATGTCATCTAATTCAAATAAATGCACTGATCACAGTCAGGAATTAACTACACTGTCATACTTTCAGGGGCAACTTGGACAGGTGGATCAGGTAGAAGAGCATTTCTTTTTACTAAGATCTTAAGAATAAAGTGCTCTAGATGCTAAGAGTCTTAAGAAAAGCATTTAGGGTTGGATTCCAAACAGCAGGCTTCTGATATATTTATCTTTGTATTATTTTCTTTTGGGTTTTTTTAGGTTTTTTATAAGCTTCTTAAACCAAAATTTAAGTTAATGTAAAAATGAGCTGGTGGTCCCACTCCCATATGTTTATGCTTACCTGCATGCCCCAAAGCAAGGGAGGAGCTGTTTCTGGGAAGTACTCAAACTAACTCCAGTTCTGGGAGAGGATCTCAGGGGCTGAAATCTTCCATCTTTAGCAATGGACAGATGTCAACCTCAAATGGAATCCAGACGACTACGGTGGCGTCAAAAAAATCCGCATCCCCTCAGATGATATCTGGCGGCCAGACCTTGTTCTTTACAACAAGTAAGGGGTGCCAGCTGCAGAGGGAGG